CAACTCAACCAGAGTTGCAAGATTCCAGTTTGGTCTGGGCTCCTAAGTGACTGATCTAGATCCATATTCAGAGGGACAGATCAGAGCCATAATGATTTCCAGACAGAGGGTAAAGTGCTACTTTTTATGACAGCATCTTTAATAATTGAGTCAATTTAAGAAATTCTTTTCATGTGCCTGTCTACTCCCTTCCCTCCTCCAAAAAGAGAATGGTCTCACCTTTTTATAGTCATTGTGGTAATGGGCCATTTTCTCTTGGCCTTCAACTTCAAATTCAGTTTCAAGAGTGAAAAAGAATAGTTTGGGCAAAACAGATGTTTTCTAACATTTTTTATCTGACCTGAAGGGTGAGCAGTCAATATGTTTACCTGATTGCATTAAAACCAATTGGACACCAAGGGTTCTTGGGAAACGAAAGGGCCACGTTGAGTGGCTAAAACCAGAGGTGGAGACAATGTGTAAACATCTTTGGTAAAATACAATTAAATTTGTTCTGACTTTGAAGCAACCCTTTGAAGTACAATTTAGGGAATGTTTACTTAAGACTGAGAGTATTAGAAGTGATAGATCCTAACTATTACTAAGACATAAGGTTTCGTCATTTCTGCTCAGTGCGTCACCGACAAGCATTTGCTTTCACTCCTGGGCCATCGTGAGGGAAAAACATGAAATATATTTAATTCAACATCTTCTGATCAACATGGAGTTCCCCTGCCTACTGAACTTCCTACTACATGATGTTCACTCCGAAGAGTTAACTATATATCCCGTTTTTCTCTCCAGAACTTCTGATGACTTTGCAAAACAGTCAACAATTCAGCACCAAAGCCTCCGGAGTCACGCTGGCATGTTGTGACAGAACCACACAATGACATGAGGTTCACCCTGTCCTGAAAATGCCCGAACAGCGGTAACAGAGGTAAATGGAATCCCAACGTCAGCGCCAGCATGGACTGAGAGAGACCTGAGACTCGGAGTCCTCAGTCTCGGGGGCAGGTTTCCCGCTGTGGCATGGCGTGAAGGTGGCAGATAAAACATGACAGCAAGACTTGGGAGAACAGCCCTTGCTTTGCTCTTCTTTGGCCTCTTTGGGGTCCTGGAAGCAACAACAATATCGTGCAGGAATGAAGAAGGCGAAGCTGTGGATTGGTAGGTAAATGAAATGTGCGGATCGGTACATGCAGCTAGAAAGCCAGAGTATCTGAGGCAAAACGGCTCACTGTAAAGGTCCAAAGGAGTCTTCCACCCTGCCTCTCCCTTTTAAAAAGAGAGGAAATTGAAGTGTGTAAATGGGCCAAATATCCAAATAGCGGCAGGCTCCTGGGTGGGAGAGCTTCCCCCCTGAGAAAGAGCTCAGCAGCCCCTAGTGAGCCTGATTTGCTGGTCCCAGAGGGGCACAGCTGGTGGCCACAGAGGAGGGGGAGGACTGACAGCCTCTCTTGGTTGGCAGTTTCCTTTCATTGCATTGTGCCTTTCCTAACAGAACCCTCCCAACATCCTTTTAGAGACTGACAAAGGAGAGAAGGCAGATTACTTTTTGTCTGACATGGGAGCTTGCTCTTCCCCTTATGAGAAGGAGAAAGAGGGCTTGATCGAACACAGCACTGTTGGGGTAACCTTTTTATTAGGCAGCACAAGGCAGCTGTTGGAGTGGGTACTAGGTCACTGGCCTCCTTCACAGTGTCAGAGAGACTAAGCACAGCATCACATCATGGTCATGGATTCTTCTAAAGCTTTGATCACCTTTTCATTCTTCAATTAAGGTGTTTAGTTTTGACATTATGGTCGGGATCAAGCTTTGCATAAACTTCAGGCTAGAGAACACAGATACGCTCACTCAGTCTCTCAGCAAACAGTTACTGAGCACATGCCAGGCCCTGTGCTGAGTTTTGAAAATACAGATATGGGGCACCTGGGTGGCTCAGTCGTTAAGCGTCTGACTTCGGCTCAGGTCATGATCCCAGGGTCCTGGGATCGAGTCCCACATCAGGCTCCCTGCTCAGCGGGGAGTCTGCTTCTCCCTCTCCCCCTGCCTGCCACTCTGCCTACTTGTGCTCTCTCTATCTCTCAGTCAAATAAATAAAATCTTTAAAAAAAAAAAAAATACAGATATGAACGAAACATGGTTCTTGCCCTCCAGGAGCTCAGTTATGGGGTGAGGGCATAGATGGGGCCATTGGGGAGCATAGAGCCCAAAAACTTCTCTGAGGAAGTAGTTTTGAGCTAAGTTTTAAGAACAAAGGTGAGCTGCTCAGAAAAACCAGGGAGCTGCAAGGGCATCTCAGGCCCAAGAGGGAGCAGTGAGGAGGTACAGGGGCAAAAAGGCAAAAAGCCACCGAGAGGGCATGGAAGCAGTTCAGTGTTGTTGGTGCTTCAGGAGAACATGGGTGATGGTGAGAGGGAAGCTCAGCGGGAGGCGATGGCCAGGTCATGAAAGGCTTCATGTGCTGGGCTGCAGAGTCCACACTCGACCCTCAAAGGAGCTACTAAAGACCTTCAAGCAGGGATGTGATGTGGTCAGGTTCATATCTGAGAAAGCCCATTGGCGGTACTTTGAAGGCCAGCTGAATGGAGACCAGTCTAGCTAGAGTCATGGAGACCAATAGGACTCACATTATGGGCAAGGCAATGTGTGGACCCTCGTTCGAGAAATGGCAGTCAAATTAGAGAGGAAGGAACACTCTGAGAAAACTTGCCCGCAAGTGGACTGAGGGTCGTAGGAGAGAGGGAGAAGTTAAGAAAGACTTCTATATTGCTGGCTTCTCTGACCATACGGATGTGTTCCCTAGCTGCAGAGAAGAGCAGAGTTGGAGCAAAATATTATAAACTTGGTTTCAAAAATATGGAGCTGGAGGTCTCTGGGACATGTATGCATGTAGGCTTCTCTGGACCTCGGCAGAGAGGTCTGGGCTACAAACAGATTCAGGAGTCTTCAGAATATAACTGGAAATGGTTACCCCAAAAAAATGTTTAAAAGCATGAGTTCTCATCTGGTATGTCGTGACACTGAGAGTTCTCCAGCCCTTCAGTGGTGGGCCACCACAGTGTGATTGACACATAAAATGTATTTTTGCCACAACTGAATGGACATCTCACTTGGCAACACCCGTCAGAGGGAATGCTGAACTGAGCAGACAGGGAGGCAGCCTCGAGCTGCTACAACTCACTGTGAGAGTCAAGGGGCGGAGCAACATCAGGCCCGCAGCAAAGCATAGTCTCAGGTTTCCTGCCACATGTGAGGACCCTGCGCTGAGAGTAAGAACGCATGCGCAGAGCGGGAAAGAGCTCATGTAAATAGAAGCAAGCGTAGAATGTGAAGCTTTTACGGGCAGTGGGAGACACTGGCGTGTGGCGATAGTGAATGCATTAGAATGTTTGCTTCATTGTATTTGACAGTTCACTGTGGGATTTTTGCTATTAGAGAGTATTTGGCTAGACCCGGGTGACTTTGCCCTCTGGAGACTTTCAACATTGTCTGGAAACATTTTTGATTGGCAGAGCTGAGGAGTACTACTGTCGTCTAATAGTCAGGGAGGCTGTGATGCCCAGTACAGCCCCCCGTGGCAAAGCATGATCTGGCCTGAAATGTGAACACAGCACATTGAGAAGCCCTGGGCTACATGATCCAACGACCGCTCCTCCCTGTGAAATACCTGAAGAAGATATACAAACAGGAGATAAGAGTAAAGAAGGCAAAGTGCTTACTTGATTGGCTGGTCTTGGCCCTGAATCCTCAGTGCAGGGCAGTCTGATAAACAGCTGAAGATTGTGGCCTAGGCCAGAGGCTCAAGGGAGGTGCCATCTACTCTGCATGCCAGACCCAAATCTCAGACCCAGCCAGCCAGCTACAAAGAGATGAGCATGCCAAGCACTTGGGGCAGAAGAGAAAAACACATCCAAGGCCTTTGCAGTTCAGCCCTGGGCTTTGGCCTCTCCCTAACGCAGCCATAAGGACTGTGGAAACAGAAGAGAGCCACGGTCAATGGGTACAATTCATACATGGGCTTCCCCTACAGGGACCCTCCCCGCCGGGCTGGTTACTCTCTCGAGACGTGTCCCGTCAGATTCGCAATTCCTTCTCTGGGAAGGAGCAAAGTAAAGGTGAGAATAGAGGCAGAAAGCTGGAGCAAGTTCCTTAGGCTTAGGAAACACAAGTAAAATGATATGTTTAGGTGCTTAACACCAGGGGAGCAGTCAATAAACGTTAGTAATTTGTAATTATTTCCTTTGTTAGGTTTATCTTTTATAAGTTACCTAAAAAGCAAGACAAGGAAAGCAGACAGACTGGGTTAGAGTCCCTATACCTAGACTCTACAACCAGAAGCTGGAGAAGGAGTAAGCAGCTCATGAACACCACCAAGAGTGTGCTGGGAAGGACATTACAACAGCTATATGAAGCACACGCCTCCAAGGTAAGCTGTAGTTCATCATTCATCTGAATCATATAAAATGCGTGAAACAGAATCTAAAGCTTCCAAAAGATTTTAACGGCTAACCTACCAAACCCCCAATCCTAGCAACTTGAAGTAAGCCAGTGCAGAATCTGAATCAATCTAAAACCTTAAGGCATATGTCATCAGACCCTACAGCAATGCCAAATTATTGGCACATTCAGCACTATATCCAATAGTATCGCTGGGTAAGGTGGGAACTAATTACATATGGAAGCCTTCTGGCTGCCAGACTCTGCCAATTCACTCAGTACTTGCTATCTTATCCCTCTGACAGAAATAGAAAGGAACCCCCTCCTGTTATAATGCAATCGAGACCTGCAGTCAATATGCCATGAGGGATGGATTGCTGATGCTATGGTGGGGATGAATGGTGGTGGCCCACGTAAAGGTTTCCACTTGGTCTTCCTTTTAATTTATCATTTTCCAAATAGTAGGTTGAGAGCTAGGGCTCTAGTGCAAGGCCCAGAACTGAATGGAGACTAAACCTGCTATCTGGACTCGATCAGGCAATGAGCTAACCAGCCAAAAAGACACAGGTAAGTAGGCTGCTGGCTCACTGTGGGCAGCCTCCCGAAGTTCCAGGCACCATCTCCTGTTCGGTGACAAGATACTGCTTTCCAACCAGGGGTGACAAATAAAGTCAAACAATAATATTCGGTTGCACGCACGGCTGCATTCCTAACACTCACTTACAGAGAAATCAATGTGTATAAATGACTCAGCACTTACAGTGTACTGGGCCTTTCCACAAGTCAATAAATCTAATCCCCACAATCCTGTGTTAGACCTTAGCACTATGGTACATGTATATGTGAGTATTTACTTAAGACATGCAGACAGCTGTCCCTACGTGTGCTAATATTCACTTTATTCACCTGCCATTAAGACCAGCCTTCAGAGCCAAATTACAAAGTAAGAATTTATTTGTAAGGTGCACCAAGCACTGTTCTAGGTGCTTTTTAAAATTATTGAATCCCAGCAGCAACCTTGTTTTAAATTAATAGATTATTATGTAAAGTCAAAACTGCCTTCTTTCCAAGGTTGGGGATGGAGGCCGGGAGCATAACCCATCAGTGAGAAAATCAACGCTTCTACTGTTCCCTTCCCCACTGGGGAGAGAAAGGAAAGAGCAACATGGTAGAGTCTCTGTCATTTACCTTAGTTGGGGCAGATGGTTCTTACTTTGGCAGAGTATAATACTGATCTTTGGAGGCACAACACTAGCCCCAGAGCCTAGGAGGGCAAGAGAGCTAAACTGCTCTGCAAAATAGAAAAGAGTAGATGAGAGCTAGGAATTAGAAAGCGTAAGAAACACGGAGGGAGACCGGGAGCAAGTCGGTGTAGTGATGTAAAACCATTCAATGTTTTGTAGCCTCAGTAAAACCTGCTCCTACACAAGGCCTTGAGTGATGGATTCGGGAAAGAAAATGACAGTAAAGGGGTTCATTTCCCTGTCTGATTGGCATAGAGCCAAAAGAAGAAGAGCAACAATAGTGGGTGACACCCAAGGGAGATGGGGTGTTCTTTGGAAGCTGGAGTTCTGTGCCAGGCGTGATGGTGAGACATAACTCCCCCAACCCGACCTGGAATTCTAACAGAAAGCAGAATGCAAGATCAGACCAACTGGTTTTAAATCTCAATTGTCAAAATGACCTCGGCCAATATCTCAGTTATATTTGGAATTGTTTCCCTTCTTTTGCCCTTGTCAATAAGAACCTTCCATACACCTTCATAGTAACGCTTATCAAACTATATTATAGTTGCCAGTACTTTTCCGTCTATATCCCCTGCTAGACTAGGGGCCAAGACTGTGCTAGTCTTGTCCAACATCCAGTAGGCAAAATAATACCCAGCCTAGGCGTTGAAGAACTAAAGCTGTCCAGAGGCACATGCGTAGGCCTACCTAGTCTTAAGTCCATGGTCTGTCCCCTTTATCAGAGAGCCTCTCTTCACTAGAGCTACATCCCATTTAACCTTAGCTTATTGTTACCCTCCTGGTTAGAATAATACACTTCGTCTGTTATAAGAATAAAGTTCCTCACGGAATCTTCCCAGAGCCCCTTCACATTGCATGCCAAAGGCACACAATGGCCTCATGACCACATTCAACGCCAGTTCATTGAATCACTAACCGTCAGAGTCCTCCGGCAGAGGACATGAACGCCAACAGTAGCTATGGTCAATTGTGGAAAATGAGGATAAGAAGACAGCTTCTTTTCCTGGATATTCATAAATATAGTAGCCAGGAATGCTTCACAGACTATATAGTGCATTAAAAAAAAAAAGTTTTTAGATTACATCAAATAATGAAGCAACTGTAAGCGACTCAGTTATTGACTTTTTTTCTGAGAGAAAAGGAGGAACCTTTATCTTTTTTTTTTAAAGGAGCTGGGTTGTCCTTTCTTGCTTTTAATTATGTCCCCAGATTTTTTTAAATATCAACATTATTGGCTTCGATAAGAATCGCTGCATCATGACACAAATGAAATGGAACCACACAGAACAAATATAAGCACGTTTCCAAAACATGACATAAGAGATACCACTAGAATAATAGCTTCATTTTTACTCAGAGATTTGGCCAACTGTTCAGAAAATTTACGCATATTTTGCCTTACCAGAGGAAATCCAATATCACACATTCAACTTCACCACTTTTTCTAAGCAGAAAATATCAAGCAAGAAAGGTGAAGTGACACTGAGAAATGGATTGAAGGAAAATCCTCCCCTATAGGGAAGTAGTGGGAGCAGAGAATGAGGAATCCTGACTAAACACAAAACTATGACCAAGCGGTGAAGCACAATGTAGGCAGAGGAACCCAGAAAGACCCTGACAGCCAGTTCCACATTGTGCCTCTAATATCAGTGGAAAAAACCCAGGTGTAATCCTTGGCTGGTTGTTCCTACTTCATTTCCTGAACAAATATTTAAGTACTCCTTTATTACACACTGGTTGCCAAATGAGAAACGCGGGTCCAAAACATCCAAGAGAAATAGGGATATTGCCCTCGCATGCACATCACGATGCATAGGGTCCCTGTCACATGAGACGAAGCCATACATGGTTGAGAATGGACTTCCTATTCCCTGTCTTGCATGGCTCAAAATTCATATTGATGGGGAAGCTGCCCATTAGGAGAATGGATGACTTCTCATGTGTATTAATGAAAGCTCTGTACTGCAGTCTGGACGGCTGGTAGAAATGTGGTGAGCATTTACGAGTGTAAGATTTACACCATTATAACCCTAATGTGTTCCTGCAGAATAATAACACAGCCTATCTACTATACAATGATGGGGTCCCTACCTCTGTGAATTATTACAGCAGAAAATATGGACACACTAAAGGTATGACAAAAGCTGTTAGTTTCTCTTTCCTCCTGGAAATCAACATTCTCTTAAATGTTCTATCTTGAATATTCTTATATTCCACACTAAAAAGATAGCTTTTCTTTTTAATGGTTTGAGTTATCAAAATGCATGATTTCTATATCACAGGTTATAATTATATCATTTGACTTGGAAATCTCCTTTTCACAAATTCCTTTTTATTTCTTAACATTTAAAAATACATGCTTTATAGGAGAAATCCAAGTACCGACTACTGGGAATACCAACCAGTCTATCTATGTGTGTGTTGTGTGTGTGTATGTTTGTGTGTGTGTATGCACACATTTCAGTCAGATTCATTGGGGTATAATTTACATAGAATAAAATTCATTCTTCTTAGTGTACAGTTCCTTTTGAAATAAATATTTTTGAAAAGTATTTTAAATAGATTTTTTTAATATTATGGTAATTTTGTTACATATATTTTAATTTTTATTACAGGAAATTTTATTTTTCTATTTATAAACTATATATATATATATATAATTTAAAAATTCAAAATGCCAGCCAACAAAAAATCTGTAATCCTAGGACCCACTAGATAATCACAATAATCCTTTCTACTTACTTTTTCTATAGTATGTATTTTAAAACATTTTTATAAAACTGTTGTAATGACTATTTTCAACCGCTTTTCAACATAATACATCATGAATAATTTCCCACGGCAACAAGTATTTTTCAGAAGGTCCCAAACACAAATGCCTTCAGCGGCAGGCAAATGGACATCAGCAAGCCAGGTGGGCTGAACTAGCAGGTCATTGAAGAACTGGAGGGTGCATACTTTGTCAAAAGGGGCAGATAGTATTCAGCTTGCCTTTTAGGGATGCAATTTTTCAGGAGATGTTGAAAATTAGTATTTGTGGAAAATTTCCCCAGTGTTTAAATGTTGGCAATAAACTCAAAGTTACTCTGTGAGCATAATAATATGTATCTACAGGCTAGATATGACCAGTAGGCTGCCACTTTGCAACCTCTGATTAAGAATATAATTTGTAATGGCTGTCAAATGTCATGAGCATTCAAAGCTTTTGATTTAGCCAAGCTGCCTCCCTGATGGTCTTATTAGCATAGAGTGCAGCAATTTTTATAATACACCACATTCTCCAACCTCTCTTCCAACAACCCTCAACCACCATTCTCACTCCACCTTGTTAGTTGCTAAAACGGTTTGGGAAAAAGACTGGAAAGGGAATGAGACCCCATGTCCAGAGGGGGTGTTCTCTTTGTCAACAGGTGCCTGACATCCTGCGGCATTAGTACCAGGGGGTTAGGATTTCAGGCAAACAGCACACTCATCTGGGCAGAAGAGAGCCTCTGAAGGTCATCCAGTGCTTTTAGGCAACAGGACTTTGGACATTTTCCCCCTGGACACAGGGAATAATTCTATATCCACTGAGAGACCAATAGTGTTCTTTCTTAAAGTGTATTCTTTGCAAAAGAAATAACTGGCAGGCATTTGGTTTCCACTCTAACAATAAGACAAACATGAATACTTTATATTTGCATGGTTATATGCAAACTGGAAAGTCTAGTCAGCATACCAAAACTATCCCAATTTATTTATAAACACAGAAATAGTCACAGATGCCTGTTGGGTAGGATTCATTTTGCCATGTCACAAGATGATGAAAATCTTTCTGTTTCCTTCCTTTCTGGTTTTCATGTTATTTTGCTCTAGGAACTTCACTAAACACAATTAACTGGGCTGTTTTGGCATGGCTTCTCTTTTAATTCTCTTTGCCTCTTGTTTCTGGGCTTGTGGAATTGACTAGTCTTCTACACATAAGCGAACATCAGTTTCTTACAACAAATTACCACAGGTACATTTCTCCACTTGGTATTTTTCTCTTTCAGCTCTTTTTTAGCCAGCTTTTGAAAATAGCTTAGCTGCTTAGCAGTAAAGAGACTCATTATCTGAAGCTTGCCAGGTGACTATATAGTTTAACAAGGTCAAATTCCAATTTAGCAAATTTGCATTCTGCCAAAACAAATTCTTCTTATGATTACAACATGAAATTCCTCTTAACTCTTCACAGGGTGGCTGCCCTGGCTCTCTTTTTGGTGGCTTATTATCAGTAATGGGGCAATGTGGTGTGTGCCTGAATTGGTTTTGAAATCTTTGAAAAACAAGCATAATCTTTGTAATTTTTAATGGAATAAAACATTGGCCTGAAATATAAATGGGCTTAAATGTTGCAGCTTTGAACACTATTGTTGAATGGAGATTTGTTTTTCTAATGTATCTGTATTAACTGTATTTTTGGTAGGCTTACTGCTGTGGAACAGAGTCCAGGGAATCTGGCTGATTCATTCTATTCCCCAGTTTCCTCCAACTCCTGAAGAAGGCTATGATTATCCACCCACAGGAAGAAGACATGGACAAACTGGCATCTGCATAACTTTTAAGTATAACCAGTATGAAGCAATAGGTAACACTAGAGTGTGTTAAAAAAGAGATAGCAATGTTAAAGAAAGCATTTGGAAATGTATTAATAAATGTATTACTTCATCTATTTCTCTATTCATTAACACTCTGATACCTAGATTCTAGTAGATTCTAATATTGGCGTTGCCATGGTGAGACCTTGAATAGGTTCACTTACTAGACCTTTGTTTCCTGATCCACCAATGAAGTCTTTGAAATTGATCAGGGGTAGTATTTTCAAATGTCTGCAGTGGCCATGCAGGTAATGAAAATGGGTGAAACAGACAAACAATGCCGCATGGGCAGTGGGGACAGTGACAAACTGGGGTGTGGACTCTCCCCTCAAAAGCCTCAGCTCTGCCATGTGGCTCTGCAGAAAAGCAGACATAATGGTATCAGATCTCCATATTTTTCAAGAGGAACTAGGAATCTAGGGATGGGCGGGTGGGAGAGAGTCGGGAAGAAAGTATGGTCTCAATCTTATTTAAGAAAATAATTGTGCAGATTACATGTTGCCTGCAGACCACCAACTTGACAGCTCCAAGGCACGTGATCTTCCTTTAAGATCCCAAGCTCAAGCAGCCAAAAATACTTGGATTTGGAAAACTATGGTGGGGGAGAAGGAGAAGTAGGAATGCTGTTTTACCAATCTCTTTTTACTGAGGATGCTGCTAAATTATAGTAAAGAATGATTTACCTTTAAGTATAGGAGATTTAGAATATGTTTTTCATTAAATTTCTACCTTATGGCAAGGATTACTGAGGCTCTCACCCAAGTTAAGCCCTAGTTTAACTAATTGAGTTCCCATAATGATTATAGAGATAAGTAGCATAGAGATTAGGTGTACATGCTGATGAATTGACCATTCGTTGAGCTGGATGATCAGTGCACAGGAGTTCTCTACTTTTGTATATGTACGTATTTGAGAAAGGAACATATGACCTCCAATGCCAGACTGCCTGGATTTGAATATCAACTCCATCAGCTACAAGCTTTATAACCCTGTGCATATGATATAAATTCTCCATTAATTCATTTGTAGAATGAAGAAAATGATAAAAGAACTTACTAATATGATTATTGTTAGGATTGAATTAGTACACCCATGTAAAACCCATAGAACAATGCCTGGAAAGTAGGAAGTACTCAATAGGTGTCAACTATTTTAACCAAGAGTAATTTGAAAGCTATTGGTTTAAAGAAGGGAATACTCTTGTTTTTCGTTTTTTGTTTTGCTTTGTTTTTTAATTCACAACAAGATCTATAATATCAACAAGCATTTCCATCTGTGTCCTAATTCTCAACTTTTCTTTCTGTTTCTTGATCCAGATTCTCAGCTCTTGGTCTATAACCCAAACATTTATAGCTGTTCCATCCCAGCCATCTTTCACCAGGAGCTCGTTCACATGCCTCAGCTGTGCACTGGGTCCAGCTCATCAGAGATCCCTAGCCGGCACCTCACTGCACTTCAGTCAGCCCGGGGCCAAAAATTCCTCCATTTTGCAAAGTCTGATTTTTTCCTTGATGGTATGAAAGATCATGATCCAACCATATGTAACTCTGCTGTTGGACTCACTTTGGATTGTACAGAGGAAATATTCTGATTATTCAGGGGTAGGGAAGTAGAAGGGAAGGGAGGAAATAGGAAAGAAAGGGAAAAGGGAAGTTGGATCAGTTCAGACATTTGCCTGCTCTGCTTGAATAGCACAATTGCTAATCCAACCGCCAAAGTATCTCACAACCATCCAGCCAGGGGCCAGTGAAAACTCAGTCTCCAGCCTCAGTTGGGCACAGGACCACAGCTGTCTCCTTTTTTTCCATTCCCTAAGCAGCTATTTTAAGCCTTCTTTACTCTCAAGTCCTTTACATTACCCTGACACCTCCTTCTCAGCCTCACTTTTTCCTTCATAGAGAGAACAGCGATCACCAAGGAGAAATCACTTCAAGGACAAACCCCACCCAAAACAGTAGGAGGTTCCTCAAAAAATTAAAAATAGAAATATCACATGATCCTATAATTCCACTACGGGGTATTTACACAAAGAAAACAAAAATACTAATTCAGAAAGATATATGCAGCCCTATGTTTATTGCAGCATTATTTACAGTAGCTAAGATATGGAAGCAACCAAAGTGTTCATCAATAGATGAATGAATAAAGAAGATGTGGTGTATATATACACAATGGGATATTACTCAGCCATTAAAAAGAATGAGATCTTACCATTTGTGACAAAATGGATGGACCTAGAGGGTATTATGCTAAGTGAAATAAGTCAGACAGAGGAAGACAATGATTTCACTTATATGTTGAATTAAAAAAACAAAACAAATGAACAAACACCCCCCCCCCAAAAAAAGGCAGAAATGGATCCATAAATACATAGAACAAACTGATGATTCCCAGAGGGGAGTGAGTGGAGGGATGGGCAAAATGGATGAAGGGGAGTGGGAGGTACAGACTTCCAGTTATGGAATGAATAAGTCACAGGGATGAAAGGAGCAGCCTAGGAAATATAGTCGATGGTATTATAATAGCATTGTATGGTGTCAGATGGTAGCTCCACTGTGGTCAGCATAGCATGATGTACAGAGTTATAGAATCACTATGTTTTATACCTGAAACTAATGTAACATTGTGTGTCAGCTATACTTCAATTTTTAAAAATAGCTAAAAAAAAAGAACATACGCACTCTCAACAATCTTATCTGTTTCCGTTCCTTTTCACGAGTTTTCTCTCATCCCAACAGAAGAAGTGCACCCCTTGTGCCTTGGAACCCATCCCAGCCTCAGAATACCTTGATTCATCCACTTGATCTGTTCTCCCTCTTCTATTTCAACAGACCCACTCTATAAGCTCTGTCCCCTTAGCACACAAACATTCCTAAAAACCTTCCCTCAGTTCTAGATCCCCTTCTGTCTGTTTCTTCTTTTCTTCCAAATTTCTTTTTAAAAAACTCTTCAGAACATTCGCTTGCTCGATGCTCCTTCACTGCAGGCTTGAGCCTCTGCCTGTAGACACTCCAATCTCTCCCCAGTCACCAATAACTCTCTTAGTTGACCTCACTGTCTTCCTTCCTTCCTTGCTTGCTTGCTTGCTTGCTTCCCTCCTTTTATATTAGATAAAATTTACTGAATGCCTACCACTTGCCAAGCCCTGTGTTAGGCACCAGATAGAGATCCAAAAATTAACAGGACAGAAATAGCCTCCACAGAATTTGGTACTGTTAAAACCCTTTCCTTCCTGAAACACTCCCCCTCCCTGATTTTGGGGAGTATATAGTCTCTTGGTCTTCTTCCCACTTCTTTTAAGTCTCTTCTGCCTACTCCTTACGTGACTAAGTTGCCATGTGGTCCTCTACTCTTCCTTATCTCATTCTACATACTCACTCTAGGTTATTCCAGCAAGGCTTCAGGTGATTCCCAAGACTAGATCTGCACCCCAGACCTCTGGACTGGCAGATGTATTCAACAGTGGGTGGGACATTTCTACTTGGAGGTGGCACAGCCACACCAAATTCAACCTGCCAAACTCATCATTATCCCCCACAAATCCACTATTTTTCTTGTATTCTGCAGAGTCAACTGGGGACTCCAGATCCCTCTATCAAGTCATCAAATTCAATCAGTTCCAGGTTCTTAGTAACACTCACATTTATCTTTTCTTCTCCAAACTCTCTGCCACTGCCACAGTCCCACCTGTGTTTATTGTCACAGTTATTGTGACAACCTGATGTTTTCTCTATCTCCAATCTAATGCACCTTTCTCAGTTCATCCTCCACATTGCCTCTCGATTGGTATTTATGATCATAAACCAGTTTCTATTAATTCTCCATTAACACTTCTTTAACAACTCCCCCATTGAGGGGCGCCTGGGTGGCTCAGTTGTGTCTGACTCTTGATTTCAGCTTAGGTCATGATCTCAGGGTCATGGGATGGAGCCCTGCACTGGGCTCTGTGCTCAGAGCAGAGTCTGCTGAAGATTTGCTCTCTCCCTTTCACCCTCCCCTCTGTTCACTCTAAATAAATAAATAGCCCCATTGATTTCAGGAAAATCCAAACATTTTGGCATGATTTGCAAAGATCACTAGAAGCTGGCCCCTGGTTACTTCTCTAGCTTTATTCTTTCCGAAGATCTTTTCAGGACAAAAACATATATTGCTCTCTTGCTTGCGTGGAACAGAAGACATTTTTAAACACCAATGTCATCTTAGTAATAATGATAGTAACTTTTATTTACATATCACTTTAGCACTTACAAAATGTTCTCCCATCCACTATCTCAATTATGTTGTTATTACTGTGCTTGTGACATCCACATATCAGGGGTGAATGATGATTTCCATTGCTGAGGATATTTTCAGGGACTTATCTAAGTATAAATACTAACCTCGCTATCTTTCTCCCTGTAAACTCTAGACATCTTTGCAGCCTGGATGGCTCAACATTTGAAGACACACTTGCTAGCAGAAACCTGGCAGCGAAAGAGACAAGAGCTTCCTTCAAACTGCTCCCTTCCTTACCATGTCTACAATGTCAAAGCAATTAAGATATCTGGACAGTCTTATTTCAGTTCTTACCAGGATCATGCCAAATGGTGTGTTTCCCAAAAGAGGACCAAAAATCGCTGGACCTGTATTGGAGACCTAAATCGGACCCCATACCAAGCCTTCAGAAGTGGAGGATTCATTTGTACCCAGAATCAGCATATTTACCGCGCATTTCAAGGCCTGGTTTTATATTACGAGCACTGTAACTAAACTTGGTGAAAGGACATATTTTCAAAGCTGACAATGGATCTTCTTCCGTCAGATCCATTCTTTATATATTAAAAGCCTATGAATGTAGTTATACTCCACACATCATCAAATAAAATGCTTTTCTACCATGTTTACCATTTTATCTTCCACTTAGTGGCAATTTATCTACTTTTCTTTTATATGTCATAAACATAAATTATTATACCTAACTAAAGTGAGAATGGATGGAGTAGAAGAAAAAATATTCTCAATTGTTCATAGATTGACTGGATATTTCCTAGATGAATTGCATCTCCTTCACAAAGATTTTCCTGACTTTTCTCCTCATCCCTTGTTTAAGGAAAAAAAAAATCTCTCTCTGTATCTCATACTATTTAGTCATATTCTTCTTAGAGTTCTTTTCACTGGTTTATGGTTAAGTCTTATTTGTTATTCTTGCAGCTGCTCCATACTAATCTTACAATCTTAGGCCATTCACTTGAACTCTCTGAGCTTTGGTTTTCTCATCTATGAAATGGAAATAATGTCTAGATGTGTTTAAGCACCTAGCGCAGAGCCTGCCAGAGTTGACACTTAAAAATACTGGTGGAATTTGAATATGAATCCCCCTACCAAATTAGAAAAGACAGAAGAAAGTTTAGAAATGCGTAATATTTTTCAAAAAAAAATTTAAGTCAGATTAGGAGAAAGAAGTAAAACAACCCACCAACTTGGGGGTAAATAAAGAAGAGTAACATAAAGAAACCATAATCAAATCTAACAATCTTCATTCCAGTGTGTTTCATTTTGGGAGTTCTAATCACTAAATATAACTATGATATAAATAAACAGTAAATAATAATAAATTTATTATTTATTTATTAATATTAATTTATTATTAAATAATAAATAAATTTGCATTAAGTACTAGTTGCTTAATAAAATTTGAAATATGGTTCCCAATTTCAAGAAAATTACAATCTAACAAGAGTAATCACAACAATAACTAAAGCCAGCACTTATTGAGCATTTACTATGTAGTTAACAGTCAACCCATATTTTCATATTTGATCTTCATAATAATACTATGCAGTGGGAGTTATTATATCCCCATTTTACTGACAAGGAAACTGAAGCTTACAAAGCTTCAGTAACTTGCCCAATATTATAGAGGTCTATTTGACCTCCAAGGCTATGTTCTTTACTTCTTTTCCAAGAGACAATAAAAGAAAATGATGCAAAATAGGATAACATATATATGATGTCTTAATGCCAACCAAAACTCATGGGACATAATGGCACCTGTTCAATGAAAAGCAGAGAAAAAGTTGAATTTGTCTTCCTGTCAGAAGCAAAGATAAGCTAAGGGGATATTGAACACTAGCTAGCTAACTTACATGCTTGAATGTATGAAGAGGTTTGATCTTCACAGAGAGCATCTGAGCAAAAATAATTCCAATAAAATAGGATTAAAAGAAAAACTAAAAAGTACAAGACCCTGACTTTAAAGGTGAAGAGTCAGAACTTGATCCAATAGCACAAATAGGAATGAATGAAAAGGAAAAAGAGAAAGCAAAGGTCAATTGAAGAAAAAATTTTATTGGGCTAAAAATACACACAGTAGGTATGAGCTTCCCCCCAAAGGTAAAGCCAGACCTTCTAGAAAAATGGTTTTATCTCAAGCTCAACAGAAGAATTTGAACAAGAGTAGAATCAAAATCAGAATCCATAGAATAAAGAGTACAAGAATGTGACAGAGAGAAGAAAAAGAAGATGTTGGCCTACTGGCAATGCACATTGAGGATGTGCTTCCCAGTGAAGGGGAGAAGGGCAGTGCCTAGACCCTCCTTGAGGACAGAAAAAATGCTGGAAAGGAACTGAACAGCCCTGGGAGTTCAAGGATATCAAATCTGATCTTGAGAGGAAGGAATATACCTTGGTATTGTAGTTCCCTGTGATGGAGCTTAGGAGTAGCCACAGCAGACCAAAGAAATTAGTATTGCTATCTTTCTCAAGCAAATATACCCAAGCCCATTACCCAATCAAGCTGATTCCTATAGGGACACTGGGGAGTATCTTTAGGATAATAACATCATTGGAAGGAAACTGAAACTTTTGAGGTTATAGGGGATGTTTTCATTGATTCCTTTTGGGAGGAAGAGAAGGATATGGGAGATATCAATGAATGGTTTAAAATACTGGAATTAAAGACTCGTGTCTAATAAAGGGTCATGTGATCTTGCCTTGCATTCCAAGGCAATACCATTCAGAAAATAGTTGAGGTAGGGGTACCACAACTGAGTCTTGGTGCTTGAGCACTTGATCTGGAGGGTTATGTCCACTGGAGATAAGATCACCATCGCCTGCCTTGTGCTTGCTGAAGCAGAGAATGGTGGGCTGCAGAAGCTGGAGAATGATGCAGATGCACCCCGAGTTCAAAGGAGAACAGAGTAATATCAATTCCAAATGTCCAGTTCTCAGATGAGTTCCTGTGAAGCCCAGCTGTTTTTCCTAGTCACATATGCTATGACATACCACTATATTCTTTCATTAAGTATCCCATTTTTAGTTTCAGTTGGTTTGAGTAGGTACCTATTTCTTGTAGGCAAACAATTCTCATTTAAGTTATGTAGAAACAAGAATGACAGTGCAAGGGTAGTGCCAAATCATTTCAATTAAGATAATAACTGAGGGGGACCCCTGGCTGGCTCAGTTGGTCAACATGCAACTCTTTATCTCGGAGTTGTAAGTTCGAGCCCCACGTGGGGTGTAGAGATCAGTTACAAATAAAATCTTTTAAAAAAATAAATAAAATAATAAAAAAATAACTGAGAGACGGGTCATGCACAATTCTCACAGACCCACAATCTCAGATGTTTTACATACTAACACAGAATATGGGTCATAAAGGAAGTACGCTAGAGATTGTAGCATGGCATGGTGAATGTACTTTCAAGGGAATAAATAGGAAGGATCTGGTGGGAAAGAATAAAAAAGAGTAATGAGATAGCTTCAAATATGTGGACATCTACTAAGTGTCTCATTCAGTTAAAATAATTTTTGATTAATTTGTGGCTAAATACACTATTGCATTTCCCAAAGAGTTGATGAAATGACCAGAGGAATTTCAACTCTGAACCTAAGATTTGCAAACAAGGAGTTCATTGGTAAAATGAAAGAAATGGTGCCCCAGGAAAAAAGTGTCCCTGGATGATCATCAGAAAAAGAAAAGTTGAATGTAGTTCAAGTTTAGAAAGTCTGAGATTGAGGTACGGAAAACAATATGATTCCATAGCAGAAGATTCTTAAAGAGAATACAGCTCAAGAGTTTAAGATCAAAAAGAAATTCTGACTATATGATTTCTCCATGAGGAAGAAAAGGAGAAAGCAATGTAAATACACATCCTGCTTTCTCACAGGCTCTTCTATAACTTGCAAAGCATGTGAGAAAAAGCCCATTGAACAAAGAATATAAGAACGTCACCAATCTGTGTACAGAATTATGTGAAACTGTAACATGAAACTTGTTGCAAAAAATGCTCAGGTTAACAAAAAATATTTTATACTTATATTCAATCAGGATTACATTGGAATTAATAGGAGTTTGTGCATGTCAAAAAAAAAAACCCATAAAAAAACAAAGCAACTTTTGTCTCTTTTACTTCCATCTTTTCAGTAAAGATAAATGGCATTTAAACTAAAAAGGTAGGAAAAAATGATCAGGAATAACTAAATCAAGGCCTCTGCAAAGCAATCTTCAGAGAGCATGCAGCGCCCCACTGTGAATTCATGTTTCCAGGCTCAATAAATGACAGTGAAAACTACTGAAAGACCAGAGATCACTAAATAAACACAGAAGAGAGGTAAATGTCACTTTCATTTATAAAATTGAATGGTAGGTGTGTTCTTAAATGTAATCCCCAGGGTGTTTCTGCGTGGCTCTTAAAAGGGCCAGATTTTTAAGCACTTACCAAACAATCAACTAGACAATCTGCAGGTGCAAGAATGAACTAGGTTCTCTATGAGTCAGGCATCTCTGACTACCTCATTTCCCTTTTTGATAAGAGTTATAAGACCAGTGGATCATGAGGTTGTAAGAGATATAGTATCCTTAGGCAGCAACAAACAAATGTTGCTCTTGATATCCTTATGGTCAAGACAACAACATTGGGTGAATGTTGAGTACAGTCCAGTGAATTTATGCATTACTCAAAGAGTGGGTTTTTGTCAGTTTGAAAGGAAGCTCTTGGGGTCATACCCAAGCACTTTTTCCAATTTAATCCATCAAACATACTCTGTACTGAACTCTATGGTGAGCAAAAGGAACAACAATGAACAAAACAGACAGTTTCTGCCCTTATAAATCTTATACTTAAGTCTGGCCTTAGCCCTGTTCCATAAACATTTTAGATGACTTCCGTGAGTATTCACAAAACACATTTATTGAATTTGTATATGACAAGCAGGTAAGAGGAATAGCAGATCCAGCAGATGATGAAATTTCATCCCAAGGGAACTTAAAAGGCTGGTGTAATGGGTTAAATCAAGTAATACTAAATATACTAATGATAAATGTAAGACTCTGCCCTTGAATAAAAAAAACCCTGCACAATGGCCATCACAGAGGTGTGGGTTGAGGGGAAGTACAATTTAGTAGCGAATGATATAGAAAATGATCCAGGGGTTTAGGCAAAAAGTCAACATGACTAGACAGTGCAAATGGCTGAAAAAATAAAAAGAAAAAGCTAATACAATCTTGAGATGTATGAATAGGACATATTAGAAAGAGTAAGGAAATAGACATACTCTATCCTGTGTTGGTGACCTAGATAATCACTGTTATGAGGAATACAGATTGGAGGACAAGTAGAAGAAATTGGCCAGAAAAGTATGGATCCTGAGACAGTAGAAGGAACAGTGGAAAGAAATGGAAATGTCTATCTCTAAAAGGGCTCACTGGGGACAGGATAAATATCTTCAAATATATAAAAGACTATTCTGTGGAGATTGGTCTACATTTGTTCTATATAACATCTAGAGGCAGAGCCAGGATAAAGGAATAGAAAATAGAGTGAGCCACATTCCGCTCAATTTAAATACAAGCTGTGTTGCCCAAACCTCTTGCTATGACCTATGAGCTCTACAGGCTATAACCCGGGCTCA